GACCGTGAATTTAACCACCCGTAACTCCCGAACCCCGGGGGCTATACACGCGGGGGTGGTCTCATTCAAAAGAGGGCTTCTAGACGTACACTCGATTCGCGTTCGAGAGGGTTCCTCGAGCTGAACGGATCCCCCGAATTTGGTGCGGGTTCACCGCGCCGTTACGGAGATATGGCCGTTCAAAGTTTCAATGGTTTTCCATAGACTTAAGCTTTAAAGCGTTTCATCCAGGTCGCCAGTAGCAAACAATGGAGCGCGCTCTGCTGGACAAACGAAGTAATTACACCATTTCAAGCATTTTATCTGCATTATATGTTCTGTAAAAAAAATTTTCATATCGGCGGTATATTCGCCGATACCGATATATCGGCGACAGGCTCATATCGTCCGATAATATCGGCAAAACGATATATCGGTCGGGCTCTAATAAGAATTCCAATAATAATGTAATTAATAAGTGCTGCTCATAAACACCTTTATGAAACAGGAAAGTTAAATACATAACCAAGTCAAGCAATACATAAACATTCCCTCTACATACACAAGATTCCTGGTGTTGGGGTGATCTCCATGATTTCTGACTCAGGTGGAGTGACTTCCATGTCTTCTGGATTTGGTAGTTCTTGTTCCTGGGTGACTAGTTGTTGGACTTGACTGTGGGAAGTGACAAACATAACAATGTTTTAGACATGCATTGCTTTATTTTTTATATATTGCCTGCATACTGGAAATGCACAGTATGGAGGTTTTAATCTAAAGTTTACTTATCAATATCATACCTTGTCAGAGGAAATGTCTGAATTAACTGATAGCACCACCACTTCCTGATTATAGGCATGTCAGACTGATAAAAGATAGCAATTGAAAATCTTAAGTCATTTTTTTTTATTTTGTTGAAAGTGTTCTCGCAGTCCTTTTTGCTTTACAAATAACCATTAATTGATGCAAACTCACCGCAGCAAAATCAAATGGCTTTGAGAGCGTAACATGGAGTGCATACTAAAAAACAAAACCAAAACTATATTAACAAATGCGGTGTTTAGCACACAGACACAGCTGTACAGCAATTATAAAACCACCTACCATCAACATGAATACCCCGCAATCAATTCCTCCTAGCTGAAGAGGGGCGCCCTGTTAATTATAGACAATATACAATTAGACCATATACAATAAATACATTACCATTACGTCCGGTGATTGTTTTTTGTTTTGTTTAAGTCTTTATGTTTGTTTAAGTGCACTTGGTTTACTCAATTCACCCATAGTGGGTTATTTGTGACAACTGTGTACTGCAT